ACACAGGCTAAGCGGCCAGCGCTACGCTAATTCTCTTAATTCTAGTCCTGCGCGGATTTTAATACATGTATTTAAAGGTATATTGTCGACATTTGACTAAAACTATCGTAAGGAATTCGGAGAGTTTGTCCTTGTTTATATTCCAATATATTGTATAAATTCGCTGGGTACAAATTTATGAAATTTTGGGGTTTTCGAGTCGTTTAATTTAATACAAAAAGAAAAACATTTATTCAACAGGCAAGAAAGTCCAGAGTGCGATGCAAAAATTAACACAAGTACACAACGGATGTTATGAGTCCACGACGTATATTTATAGTTGTTTATTAAAAAGTCAAACTGTCAAACCTTTAACTTGTCCTTGTTTAAATATCCTTCTATATATTGTATAAATTCGCTGGGTCTAAATTTTTGAGTCGTTACACAAAGAAAAACACATTAATTCAACACGCAAGAAAGTCCAGAGTACGACACAACGTAAAATCCATAGGAAACCGGCACAATTCTTTGAAAATTCAACGAAACTGTGTAAAATATAGTTTGATCACTCTGTGAAAAGCCGCCATTGGGGTTCGGAATTGTGCGCGTGCGTACAAGTGTATGGGCTAATAAACGAAAAATGCACCACAAGCATGGCATGAGTCGGCTATTACGTACATAAATACGGACTTATTACTATACTATGTAAATCATGGAACAGAGGGGATCGATGGCATTTTGGCTTAGTCGTTGCACCCTGAGCCTGCGATGAGCTAACGCAAACTCGATTTCTCGACTACGAAAAAAACAGGAAAACACAGGAAAAGACAGAAAAAGAGGGATTTAAGACACTTGGCCTACAGGCCAGTGTAATTAGTAGCCATTTTGCCAACTTTAACCATCTTTAATTCAAAATCGGCTTGAAAATCGCATTAGTCGCTTAATTATCTTATATATAGTTTTTTTCGATCTTTCTTGTGGACGGGTATAGTTTATTTTTTGTATAAGAGAACATGAAATTTTACATTTTTTGCCATCATAGTAATTTAATAGGCTAAATTTTAAAATTCTCAATTTTTTGGCTATAAAGCAAAAATCAGAAGTGGTAACACACACAGTCTTATTCACCAAGACTTGAACTATAAGAAAATGCCTGTTACCAGCTTCTAACATAAAGTTGCCATCAAACTCTCTTTAGAGGCACTTTTTGCCACCTTGGCCGGCCGACTACTATACTATTTAACAATTAGACAACGAGGCCGAGTTGTCTATGAGCGAATAGTCAACGAGGCGAAGCCGAGTTGACTATTTGCTCATAGACAACGAGGCTGAGTTGTCTAATTGTTTTAGTATAAACTTTAACATTAATTTACAACTAGGCTGCAAACACAATACAAAAATACACAAAAAAAACATTATAAAACCATTAAAGGTAAACAAATATTTTAGTTCTTATTTGTGTAAAATGTTTTACAAAATTCAGTTTTAATTTTAAAATTTCATTGAGTGTATGTTATTTTGTCTATTTTCTTACCCTTAAAAGTTGCCATTCCATATTTTTGTTGCTTTTTTCGGGGTTTTTAGTACAGAATTGTTCAACAAGTCGTCCAAAAAATCATCAGACACTTTGGCAAAAGTGCAAAACGCAAATTTTCCGCCATTTTGAATTTTCTATTGGTAGGCTATCACTAATAGTCTACTAGTAGCGTAGCCAATCAGAAGGCACGATATGTGATAGCCTACTAGTAGGTTTATACTAATAATAAATAGTATACTACAGTTCACCTTACACAATTCCAAATGAACACATACAATATTCTCCTCTTTCTTCTGCCAATATTGGCCATATTGAGCAAAATTTTCATTTCAATTGAAATATATAGTGAAATAAAATAAAATTTTGTGGAAATACAAATTTCAAAAAGAAAAAGTATAATTTAAGAATTTTCCTCTTATCACACGTTTTTTTGTTGCATGAATTTCACCCTGAAATCACAGGAAATGGGCGGCCATTCCAGATGAAGAGTACAAATCACGCGATACAAACTTCGCATTGTTTTGACGGTTTTTTGTCGTATTTCCGGTTGGGGATTATCGCAAACTCGGACCTGAAATGTAAATTTGGCAATAAAAGATCACAATTTATAGATAGAAACCTGAAAATAATACTGTGTATGGCATTTTGAATGCTTAATTAATCGAACAAGACTATCACAATGAGTGTACGTCTCAAGGGGCTGAAGTTATGTTTGGCGAAAGGTATATTTATGTTTATAATTTGTTAGTAATATTGCATAATTTGATCATACTGTATATGGGCTCGCTTGACTTTCAAAGCTCATAAATCGCTATAATGTAGCCATTGACTAATACTATCGCTATGATGGTGGTATTTTCATCTACATAGCGTTTACTGAACCGAAGATATGAACGAAACATTCGTAGTCCATGCACATACTATGCGTAATGGATAGTGCTTTGAAGGAGTTAAAGTGCGACTAGCCAAATATGATTTTTGGTATGTGTAATCTTCAAATCATTCGAAGAAATGTAATATATTTTTAAAATAAACAAAAATCCCATCTTGATTGAGGGGGGGAGGGGGGAGTTGCCTCCCCCTTTTGTCTGCCATACGTACTGATTCGGACACGTGTCTGATGAATATCCATGTCGCTCAGTGTTTATTTAAAGAAAGTTTTAATTCACTCAGCCAGTATGAGGTTCATCAATTAAACATGATTGGCAACTCTGACAATTGCTCTTGACAAATATGAAAGGTTCAACTGTACTTGTCTGTCATTGTCCATAGATTCCACAGATTAAAACAAAGGCATGTCGATGCAGCAGCCAGAATGTTCTGCTATTAGCATAAATCTTAAGGTTTACATCTATCTGTTTAATATTGGCTATTAAATACCTAAATACGCGGTTTAGCGGGGTTTATACGAACTTAATGATGTTAAATTTTGATCAATCAGGCACGGTCGCATATAAATATGCTTCGTAATATGTCCAGTATTTCTTACCTTATAAGCCATTCCATATCATTAAAGTGTCCCCAATGCTTGAAAAAGGCATTGATTCAGATGAATAATTGAACATGAAAAGATTCTCTCATTTTTTACGGCTTAATATACACGATAAAATCAACAAGTCTACTTTCACTTTGATGATCTTTGACATTTTTTAGATTCGGGCGATCACGCCATTTGCGGGTAAATTATTATTTTGAGCCATGAGTACTTGTGGTCAGCACCCCAAAGAATACAAATAATGTCAAATATGACACTAGGGACGGGGGGTATTCTTGCTTTTGTCCCTTTACTCACGCAATCTCGCGTGGAAATATCGACGCGTGAGTATAAAATTTCGCAACAAATCTTTGAACTTTGTTTGCTGGTGCAGCATTTCAGGCATTTCAAGTTGTTTTTCCAAGCGAAGAGCTTTCTTCAAGGTAAATCCAACATATTGTGCAACGAGATCGTAGTTCGTTTGATATATCTTTTTGTAGATGTCATTCGTTTCGATTATTGAAAGGTATTTTAATAAACTTGCATGTTGATGTTGACACATCGTCGAAAGCATGGTCTGTGCATGGACGAATTCAAAACTTGAACTTTAGTATACACCCACTAAGAGCCTAAAATTATAGATAGCTTAGCCCAATATTACGCAAATTAAAGCTTGTTTGATAGTGTTTTGAAAGGCGAGCCAATATAATCTCTTTTCGAGTAATTGTGCTGAAATTTTTTGCTTAACTTTCTCTATTTAACAGGTGGGCAGTTGTGCATTGGGCCGAAAAATTTGGACACGAATGCCAATGCTTTGTGATGTGATTAATTAAACTTGTGCTCAATCGACGAAAAGTTAAGATTATCGCAGAATTCAGGTAATATTTGTGTTAAATTTCTGTGTAGATACGATTTTAAACTGCTGTGTTTTAATAATAAAATTAGCCCGCTAGAATTATTTATACATTTGGCTTGCATGTATATTTTGACGCGTTCTTATATAAATTGGCCCGAAGTCCAAATGACATTTTTATAGTCCGCACATAAAAGCACACAATACGGAATTATCTATAGTGTAATAGTTGTAAATTTACTAGACAATGAAAGAATTCTTGCATATACTTATTCCCTTATTTATATTGTCTTTGTTGTATAAATTCATAATTACCCGGGCGGGGGGAATTGATATCTAATATTTTGTAAACTTGCTGATTGCGACATTTAAGTTTATAGTAATTATAGCTTACGCCCTCTATTATGTAAACGAAATACTTTGATTTTGTGAAATACTTTGAAGGCTTTTGAAGTTTCTCAGAATTTTGTAAACAGCTAGGTAATTTGTGTGAATTAAGGGAAGCAGTTGAGTTCATACAAGATTTTAATGAAATTTAATGAAGTCATGGTTTGTCATTGTGGTTGACTGTTGGCAACCTTGTTTATAGATATGCATACTTAAATACTTGTTTGTGAACAGCTGGCCTGTGTTCATTCAAATTTGGGATTTGTTTGATTATGTGCAAAGTATTTCGGAACAAAAGTTGTCAGAACTTCTGTCACATATCCTTGGTAATGACCAACATATTAAAATCCGAAATTAGGGCGAAATGCAAAAATTACTGCACAGACAGGTTTCAGATTTTTACAAACAAGTTCATGATTATTAAAAACTTATACAAAAATGCATGAAGGTGATGGCAACAAGGACCACACAGCGATTTTACGATGGGGGGGGGGGGGTTTGAGATGAAGTAAGTTCTTCCTAGGGGGGTCTGGGGGTCCCCCCAGGTAATGTTGAAAATTTCAAGCCCAGAAATTGCATTTCCAGCTATTTCCCAAAATAATTTTGTTCACAGTAATCGTGTGCATATTGCCTTATAATAGGCAGATATACTGTATTTCTGTGAAACACATGTCTAACTGAAAAATTTGTGAAGATTCTTTCCAATGATTATTGTATTGCAACTGTCAAGTCGAGCATTACTCTGCTTTGGAAACATGTAGGCATGCGACTGCGACACAAAAATAACCTTGGCATTTCGAGCGAAGACCCTTTGTTTTATAAAACTAATGTGTTTCACCTTTCTGACCTAATAATTTTGGTTAAGCCAATGGCAGTGTCGAGCAAAAAAGAGTAATATATTTGAACCTTGCATGCAGTGATAACATTGCTTGCCAAGGAGAACATTTAATAACTTACAAAACTTTGTGCATGGTTAAAAAATTATAAATAATTTCTGAAAAACCCTTTCAGGGAGAAATTTAATTAAATATCTATCTAAATATCTGGTGATAGTATAGCCCGCTGAGCATTCAACTTTTAGTATTTATTATATAATTATAGTGTAATCCCCTTGCAGCTCCCCTTGGGAAGAGTTAACTTATTTTAAATAAATTATAAGTGAAAATTTGATGAATATTTATATGTTGCTTAGGAATACATTGTTTTGAAAGAAACATTGTAATAGTGTAATTAAGGTAATTCCGCAGTAGTTGTTCCCGAAATGAGAATGTGCTGAAACTTCCCAGGCATGGAGTTTATGATATACTTAAAGTAAAATCACACAAAAAAGTCGGGGTCACCGCACTTGTTAAGAAGATATGACAATCACAACAGGGCTCGAAATAACATTCCCAACGTTCCCGATCATGGTGATCGGCAATCATGACTTTTTGCCAATCAAATAAAAATCTGCCCGATCAGGAGCACTTGCCCTCATTTCAGTCCTTGAAAAAATTCTAAATATGGCAGTAAATACACATCTGAACAGGAAGTTTAACTTTATTTCAAATTCAAGTTTAAATATACGACGTTCTTGACTTATATACAGCTATTTCAAATAAGGTTGTCCTCGAGCAACGCAGAATAGTCGAATACGAGCGCGAAAGGGTGCTGGGAATCGCTAAGAAATTAATGTCTAATAATTTATTAGCGATTCCCAGCAGCCTTTCGCGCTCGTATTCCACTTTTCCGCTTTGCTCGGGGGACAACCTTAATTGAAATAGCTGTATACAATACTAATAGTGCAACTACATTTAACATGTATTAATAAACTTTAGTTTATTATAACACTTCTCAAGTTTTAATAGTTATTATAGTATTGCATTTTTTCACACAAAAGCAAGAAACACAGCAGCATTATCGATTAAGAAATAAAACTTATTATTTATAATATTAAAAGAGAAAATCCTACAAAAAAAATCCTATAACAAAGACGTTCGTCGTCAGCGTTTTGGATTGCAGGATGTTGAAGAGACGACAATACTTCATGCACCAGCAAATTTGTTTTATAGTAAATTAATTACTTTAGAGCGAGAATAGTATATTGCGGCCTTTCCTGTCGTATGGCTCGTATCAACTAAACAAGAGTTTTTCGTGTGTTTTTTAATGTGTTTTAAATTACTTTTATTTCTCTTTTACCGAGTACAGGTAAGCATGTATTTCGGACAATGGTCAAATATATTTCTTGGCATTCTTGCCGATCAAGATGAACGGCAAAGTTGCTTCTTCACCAATCAAAAACAATTTCCTGCCAATCATTGATCGTTGATCGGCCGTTATTTCGAGCCCTGATCACAATATACCACCTTTACCCCAATATGGCGCCATCTTGACGCTCATTACGAGTAACAGCAAACTCACAACAGCCCGATATTTATTGACGTTTTTAGCGCGGATTTTGCTTTAGTAAACCTATTTTGTAATTATTTTTGAAAAAATATTGTGTTATGAGCAAAATGAAACTACTAACGTGTACAATTCTGATCCACAAATGTCTTTTGCACATTTCTTTACAAATCTTTCTTTGGGAACATGCATTGATAAAGCATTTTTTTTCAAGATCCAGATATGATTTTTCTTTTAATTTCGGATATGAAATGTAAAATACATTAAAGAACTAAATTATCAGTTAAAAAACGGGGGTCACAGACCTTTTTAGGGAATTGTGGCATTAAAACGTGAAATACAAGTAAATAAATATACTACAGACACAGGGTACCCTAGCTAAACGTTTGTATGCCTTTTTTGATAAAACATTGATTTTAACTTTATTTATATAAGTAATAAGATGCGCGCAGTAAAAGTGCGCAATGCAAAACTGCGGAATTACCTTAAGGACAAAATTGGATAAGTTTGTACAATCCTAATTCATAAATACACTGATATGTACAGTACATGCATATGTCAGGTAGTTGACTTTAGGGGGTACATTCTAAGCAGACTACCACCTGCACATCCCCCACATTTCCATAAAATCTGGCCTTGGTGTAGATATCGTGATATAGCATGTTAGACGTGCAAGACATGGTTTTTTACAGTTATTTCTTGACAGTACTGTACATCTATAAACAAATAAAAGTTAAGAAGTTTCAGACTTTCCTAATGGGTGATTCCTGCAGCTATAGACAAAATTTTGAAGCAAGAATAACGAAATCCAACAGAACAGCCAGAAAGAGCGTCTTAGAATGAGTAAAACTGCAAAGATTGGTTGCTAAATGTTGTATAATGAAGAAAATACAGCCCTGTGAAGTTCACAAATTTTGTATAGTGTATTACGCGCGGTAGAATAACCACTTTCGGCTCAAAAATGGTTATTTTTCCCGCGCGTATATAATGCAAATACAGTAGGCCTATATACAAAATTTGCAAACTTCACAGGGCTACATTTTCCTCATTTTACAACAATTCGCAACCAAACTTTGCATGTTTACTCATTTTAAGATGCTCTTTCCAGGAATCATCCACTGATTCTTACCCACGATTTCGAATAGAACATAGAATAAGAACTTCTGATGCATTTATCTTGTGTTTGTGCTCTTTGTGTCAAAGCGATGGAATACAGTTGTATTTCTAGTTTGGTTAACATTTTTAAATCATTAAAATGCTTAATATTATGTTTTATGTCCAGTCAGACAAAATTTAACACTGCTTATGTGCTGATTGCGCAGATCGTATGGTGATCTTTTCAAGCTTTTTGCGGCTTATAATAGACAATTCCCATTATAGACTAATTTTAAAATTAGGCAAGGAAACTCAAATAAATCACCACAGCTAGAAAGAGCATACTAAAATTAGTAAAATAACAAAGTTTGGTTGCGAAATGTTGTAAAGTGAGGAAAATGTAGCCTTGCAAAGTTCGCAAATTTTGTATGCTTTTGTATTGCGTGCGGAAATTCCTACCACATTCCTGCCACATTTAGGCCGAAAATGTCGCACGCAATACAAAAGTATACAAAATTTGCAAACTTTGCAAGGCTATATTTTCCACATTTCGCAACCAAATTTTGTCATTTTACTAATTTTAGTATGCTCTTTCTAGCTGTGGTGATTTATTTGCATCTCCTTGCCTAGTTTTAAAATTAGTCTATAATGGGAATTGTCTATTGGTCGTTAATTTGCTTTGATTGCTCATTAATTCATCATGAGAACAAATGATCTATGCATAATTACATATCCGTATTTTTGTAGATTTTGAATAATTTTTCAAAGGTAGGAGAAATCACTACACGCTATACCGTTTGCGGTTTGTGTTTCCACTTAGCCAAAATTTATGGTAAACTTTTTTAAAATTTAGGCCGCCCCCCAAATAAAATATGTTCCGCCGCCCCTGTTTAAACGCGATCGTTTCAACGCGCGCGGAATGGACCTTTAACCTTGTAACTAAAATTTTGATCTAGACAAGTCTAGATAAAAATTTCATCACAGCTTGAAAGAGCATCACAAAATTAGTAATATTCCGAAGTTTCGTTGCGAAATGTTGTAAAATGCGGATAATATAGCCTTGCGAAGTTTGCCGTTTTTCAGTCATTTTGTATTACGCACGGGAAATTGATGCCCCAACACCCGATTTGGGTATCAATTTCCCGTTTGTAATCTAAAATGACTGAAAATTGCAAACTTCGCAAGGCTATATTATCCGCATTTTACAACATTTCGTAACGAAACTTTGGAATATTACTAATTTCGTGATGCTGTTTCAAGCTGTGATGAAATTTTTGTCTAGATCAAAATTTTAGTTATAAGGTTAAAGGTCCATTGAAACTGCGCGAAAATGTATCTGGGGTGCGCGAAATTAACCCAACCAACGCACTTTAAATCGCACACAAAACTAAAAGCATGCCCTGTTTATTGAATTATTTAATAAGACAACAATTAAATAATGTGAACTTTTCTGTGCGTATAAGGTAATCCAAAATCGTGCGACATCTGTACAGACTACAGTACATGACGTCTGCTTTAATAAACCGAGTTCCTTTAGTTAAGATGGCCTGAACTTTCAAAGCCTCGTCCATTGCTATCCCGAAGTAATTGAAACTCGAAACATGTTTGAGCGAGTTATCGCCCATCTTTAATCTAAATCAGCTTACATTATACTAGGAGATATACTTATAGATATATTATTATATATGTAGCTTATATACATTAAAAAAACCCAACTACGAACTATAATTTTATGTATATGAAAAACTTTAATAAAAGGTTAAAATTTACAATGAAAGTAACATGCCAAAACTATACTGATGCTCTTAATGCAATTAATGCAGCACTTTTAAAAGCGTTTATATTCGTAGGTATAGTTCGTTAGAAGGGAGATTGTTCCAGGTTATAATAGGTCTTGGGAAGAAAGAACATTACATTTACATTGCAATTCTGAAAGCTTGGTAGTCCAGCTGAAGTATAGCAAATATGATAAACTATGTATTTTTCTTATGTCCTATTATTTCAAACGTTGTTTATGTTCACGCTGCATGCCTACAGACATAACACCACAATGGTGTACCAGGTGCAGCTTTGCATCAGTACAACAGTCTAATATTTTGTATTTTCTTTCAGTGTTTGTTTGAGGTTATAACACAAAGCATGGAAATGTCTGCCTACCAATCTATCCCAGAGTATTACGCCGGCAAATCTCTCTTCATTACGGGAGGAACTGGATTCCTAGGGAAAGTTCTGGTGGAAAAATTGCTTCGCAGTTGTCCTGATATAAAGAAGATATATTTGTTAGTGAGACCAAAACGTGATGTCGGCAGCAAGGAGAGAGTGGAGAAAATTCTTGATTCTGAGGTGGGTGTTAAAAAAATCATGCTATTAGTATATATGGCCCGTTTGAGACACCTCTACAGCCATGCGCCCAACATAGGGGGTGTTTTATATGAGCCTTACATAAAGGGCGAGCCCTTGCGGCAGGGCTGACTTTCACCGCGTAAACACATGAGAAAAATCAGACGTACTGCTATAGGGCTGACTTCCTTTCACAAGTTGCACTTAATGGCTTCCATGCAATTCATTTTTATTATGGCGTCCAAAATCATAGTTTGCCGACTAAATTTTGTAATGAAAACCAACAGACATTTGAATATTCGTTTAGAACTACATATTTAAAGCGAAAAAGCTTTTAAAAGTAAATAGTTTGAAATCGATTCTGATTACACTGCTAGCAGCCCTCCCTAGTGCGTTTATTCGGGAAATTTCCAGCCCTACGAGGCGAGATCTCGCCTTGTCAATAGCGAGGTCTCGCCAGACAATACCAGGGTCTTTCCCAAAAAGACCTTAGTAGGGCTTGCCCTCCTCTCATATAAACGAAAACAATTTTTAATGGGGAAATATATTAGCAAGCTGGATCTCGTCATCTCGCCTAGGAGGGCCAGCCCTTCATGTAGGGCTCATATAAACAGGGCCTTATTGACGAATTGGGTGCAACAGAAGAGCGACGCATAAATCAATTTAACAGAAATTTGGAGCCGCGGCAGAAGTGCAGCAGAGCTTGATCAACGACGCGGTAACTCAGGGACGCACCCTTGAAACAAGAACTTCATAATATGCAAGACAAAAACTATAATAATAATTTGTGGTTTCAGGGGTGTCTTCAAAAGTCTTGTCATTCTCAACACAACCTTAAACGTAACTATAGGCTGGCATTATCATATTCTCTAAGAAACGTGATATCTTGCAGTATTGCGACGTGAAAGCTAATAGAGACCTTACGATTTAGGACGGCAACAGCTACCAATACAATAAATCATTGAAAAGAATTGAATAATTACAATATATATGAATAATTTAGACATTGTCCTCGCTCTGTTTACAACGCCAAATCACAAGATTTTCACGTCTTGATACAACGGCTGCATTTTAAGCCGCAACAAGTGCAACTTCAAACTGGGTTCAGCAGAAGCCAGAACTCTTCGCAACCATAAAATCCATATCTTCAATTTCTAAGACTGTATTAAATTCATACGATTGATAATATACGACGAATTATCTTTACTACCATTTATTTGAAGGAGTTTGTTTTGGCCATCGTCGTCGCGTTGCCGTCCTAAAATCGTTTCTATTACTTAACGTCGAACTTACATGTATAGCAAGCACCGCATCATTCTAGCCGAACTTGCTGTTTGTGAGGGTTTGGTAGTCACGAAGTGTTACAGGGGACATTTTAAGCTCTATAGGTTAACCGAATAAAGGTTTGATGTCTGTTCCAATATGTTTTAACCATATATATAGATATCTTATATATACACTAGATAGTGCATCTAATTATTCTACAATTCAAAAATTGAAGCCGTGATTGCAGACTCAGGATATTCCCATGAAATGAGAAGATTCTTATGTTTTCTATTTCTTAAACACGGAACTTAAATATTAAGGTAAATCTATTCCAAATACATTTTTAAACTATTCAAATGATGAAAGTTATTGTTGTTTTTTTTAAGCGTTTATTAGCGAGTGGGAAACACCAACATGGCCGCCATCTATTCAAATGGGGGTAACCGCTGGAATATTCTTGGCTTCAATTTTACTAAAAGAGATGCGCTATCTAGTGTATATAAGATATCTATGGTTTTAACTTGAATAGAATTAGGGTGCGATAGTTCAAGAATGGACCATTTGCATTATAGACTAAATTTTGATCTTGACAAAAATTTCGTCACAGCTTGAAAGAGCATCACAAAATTAGTAATATTCCAAAGTTTCGTTGCGAAATGTTGTAAAATGCGGATAATATATCCTTGCGAAATTTGCAATTTTCAGTCATTTTGTATTACAAACGGGAAATTGACGCCCCAACACCCGATTGGGCTGTCAATTTCCCGTGCGTAATACAAAACGACTGAAAAACGGCAAACTTCGCATGGCCATATTATCCGCATTTTATAACATTTCGGAACGAAACTTTGGAATATTACTAATTTTGTGATGCTCTTTCAAGCTGTGATGAAATTTTTGTCTAGATCAAAATTTAGTCTATAATGCAAATGGTCCATTCTAGTCGTACCTGACTGCATGATACGCCAATGATTATTACTGTGTACTTGAGCTGATTAAAACTTAAGACTCAAGGTGTACTTAGTCTGGCTTCTAAAAGGTATTCATTCAGTAACCTGCAAAGTTATAACAAGTATACCACAATTGCATATACAAACACTACACTCGACTCTATAACATTCCTTAGTCCAATCGTGTTTCATGCCAAGGCATGTCATACATGTACCGACTTAATTACGGTTTTGAATACCTTGTGTTTGGAAAGTCATATGGTACCAGTAAAAAGTAAGTACGCAGTTAGCAAGAGTTCACGTAACCTACGTGCAGTGGTGTCAAGTAAGGAAGTAAATGTTCTTCGTTACTCGAGTACTATTTTTGAGAGCATGTAACAAAGTTTTTCTGGAGTACTTTTACTTGGAACGAAGTCGTTTTAAGAAGTAACGTTTTACTTCGTTATTTTCATTTTGTGGCGAAGTATTTCGTTACTTTCTAACTTCTGTTTAATTTTACGCAATTTATTTTAATTTTGGCATAGGTAATAGGACCTCTACATGCATTTGGGATCACTCGTTTGTGGCTTATACTTAGAAGCATTATTTATGTAATGGATTTCTTATATCTTCAAAGGGGTCTGGAAAGTAGACCATGCCGTGAAATATTTAACAGTTATTCTACGAACTCGAGTCGAATATGAGCTGATAGCCGATGAGGCGCGTAGCGCCGAATCGGCTATTGCTCATATTCGACGAGAGTGAGTGGAATAACTGTTTTATTATATACACAAGGTCTGAATTCACAGACTTTGCTATTCGGATATTTTCAATATTTTTCTATTTTGTTTATGTTTTTATCTTCGCTCTTTCGGCCTATTATTTTTTCAAAAATATATATTTTTAACCATTTTAAATTTTAAAAATTTATTTGCTAACCTGAAAACAATTTGTGGGAGTTTTTTCATTGTGTTTTTTCATTTGCCGTTTTCTCGTTTGCAAAACATCGTCAATTCAGTTTGGCCGCCATTTTGTTTTTCACTACTAGCAGGATATGAGCTAATATCCTGCTAGTAGAGAACCAATCAGATTGCAGAATACCTCATATCCAGACCTTGTGTATATAATAATGTATATTATAGGTGCGCGCATATAATGCGTGTGCTGTTTTGTGTCTTTTGTATGTCAATCCATATTCATTGGAATTCTACCTCACCCCGCCGCCTACACGCAACAGACAATAGTACTTTCAGTTTTTACTTCAAGTATTTTTTAAGGATACTTTGTACTTTTTACTTAAGTACGTTTTGCCTCAAGTACTTTTTACTCTTAAGTCGTTTTATTGTACTTTTACTCGAGTACAAATTCAAAGTAATTTAGGAACCACTACTGCCTACGTGGTACTTGGCGTACCTCGTAATATTGGCGTACGTAAGCACGCAAATTATCGCACCCTAATAGAATACATGATAGTGTTGGAAAACATTAAGTACTAGTTAAAACATGAGCAGCCGATCTTTATCTGACCTTAAAAAAATCATTAATACCGTGAATTATTAATGAATTTTTTAAGGTCAGGTAAAGATCGGAAACGAAATGAATGTTTCATCAATGTTTGTAAATCGGATAAAGATTTGTCCTGATTTACATAAACTTCACCTTTGATTTTCTCGGCTTAGACAAAGTTTATTTTCAAAATTACTTCGCCAATGAACTCACAAGATGGGTCATTTTTAAGTACGATAAAATATTCGCCACCGATCTGAATCTGATATACCGCAAACTCTCGCCTTCGTTTCGAGTTTGTATATCAGATAAAGATCGGCTGCTCATGTTTTAACTAGTACTAAACATTGTCTAACCCGAGAAAATCAAAGCTGAAGTTTAATATGTTAATGTAAATCAGGACAAATCTTTATCCGGTTTACAAACATTGATTAAATATTCATTTCTTTTGTATTTTCCTCGTGAATTATTAATGAGATTTTTAAGAACAGCTCCAGTATAACGATGCAAAATCGCGTGACTGCCAACTCTCGTGCCCTCTCACCCTCGTTGGATCCGGCGTTTACAATATTAACAATAATCTAATCGCTTAGTGCTCCTTCTTGAGCTGAAGTTCTGACCATGCATGTCGTCGTGTTTCCCGCGTCGTAGATCTTAAGCTCTTGCTTCAGCGTCGCATCTAATACAATTAGGGCGCCTGAATCGCCTAAATTTAAGGTTTTTATAAGAACTGCAGTACCTCACCCTACTTGTTACAATCTCAAGTTCTGGTTGTTGCTACAACACCAAAATGGTGAAAATCATTGCAGCTTTTGTAGACACTGATTTACTGTAAAAGTGTACTGAAACAGTACTAACAGTAAGCTACATTAATCACGATTGATCAGTTATCAGTAAGTTACGTTAATCACGATTGATCAGTTATCAGTAAATTACATTAATCACGATTGATCAGTTATCAGTAAGTTACATTAATCACGATTGATCAGTTATCAGTAAGTTACGTTAATCACGATTGATCAGTTATCAGTAAGTTACATTAATCACGATTGATCAGTTATCAGTAAGTTACATTAATCACGATTGATCAGTTATCAGTAAGTTACATTAATCACGATTGATCAGTTATCAGTAAGTTACATTAATCACGATTGATCAGTTATCAGTAAGTTACATTAATCACGATTGATCAGTTATCAGTAAGTTACATTAATCACGATTGATCAGTTATCAGTAAGTTACATTAATCACGATTGATCAGTTATCAGTAAGTTACATTAATCACGATTGATCAGTTATCAG